GGGTGTGGTCTCTGCACTTGTAGTTTATGTTTACTGCATTCTGGGGGCAGTGTCCGTGCGGCAACAATTTTTGGGCTACCATTCCGGACCGGACCGGACCAAAAACACGCTGGAGTTTCGTGTGTCCCATGCCCCAACTGCCACTCCCTGGACTCCCCCCCGTTGACACTGACAGGATCCACAGTCCATAGAGAGGCGCAGCCCTGTCCTGCCCCCTGGACTCTTGTTTTGCCAGTTTATTGTGAAGGACATTTGCTGCTCTTCGGCTCTGCTCTGCGCCCCAGGAGTGCGTAAAATGTATTTTTTTTTTTGTTGCAGTTTGTAGCAAAATATTTGCGGTTGCCGGCATTAGCATTTTTATTTTATTTGCACAAAATGTTGTGCCATATTTGTTTTTGTCCAACCCGGATATATGTTTGTCCAGCACTCGTTCTGGAGCTGCGCATGGATCCATTGGGCCATTGCCTGTTTGGCGTTCGGGTAAGCATACAATCGACTCGACTTGAGGTGGCTGGCACGCCAGCACCTGGCCACTGCCCCTTGTTCGTTCTGCCCCACTACCCGGGGATAACCACGGATAGGGCTAATAAAAATAAACAGCCATATAAAAATAAAGCTAAATAAAATTCATGGCAACGCCTGGCAAATACAATAAAGCATATTATTTCAGCATTTATTTTACTTGCTGCTGGCCGAGGGAGGCCTCTCACCATCACCAGCAACATCTTGGCAGCCATTTGGCAGGGCTAAAGTGTTTTTTTTTTTTTTTCTCTCCCCGTGGTACATGGCGACGACTACGACGACGCTGCCTAATGAGTGCAAGAGCTACGTGATTTACTCGGAAATCCTACACACACACACACACAGACGTACACACACAGAGAGCAAAGAGCAGTGGCAGTGGCAGTGCATCTAAAAAGAGAGAGGCTTCCAGCTCATTAAACGCGCTGCTGTGTCTTGCCTTTGATTCTTCATTATCGCTTGTATGGATAATGTCGAGTGCTGAGAACTGTTGAGTGGGTGGTGGGGTGTGGGTGGAAAAGACAAATGCTTATTTATGCGAGATATTGCTCAAGTTCTCAGCAAAGTCCTTGTTGGTTATTTACTCTGCAGGAGCACTCGACTCGATTCGACTTGACTGAAATGGAATGCATTCGCATGGAGAAATTGAAATGTATTGATTTATGGCAGCAGCAGCAACAGAAGTAGCAGCAGCAAGTGGTGCCACAGCTCAAGAACTTTGCCAAGGTGGAGACTTTGTGGTCGTGGGTCCTGGCTAGGACTGTGACTGTGTTGCTGCTGCTGCTGCTGGTGCTGCTGAAAAGTTTGTCCTGGCTGTGGCTCGTGCTCAAAGTTCATTGAAGTATACGCTGGTTGACTGACTGTGGCTACAGTATGGTCATTGATAAGTCATAAGTTCGGTCGCTGCTGCCAACTGCCTGCTGCCTGCTGCTCTCACTCTCCCCCTCTCCTGCCGTAAACTTTGTCAAAGTCAAATAGCAAAGTTTCCTCCTGTGGGTTGTGGGTGTTGGTGTGGGAAAATGTCAATGGGTTGGGTATTAGCAGTGCATTAGTTGGCTGCTGCATTATTAATGACCCAAGCGTTGGGCATTGATTTTTACACTTGCTCGATTGACACAGCTATCCATCCATCCAGCCATCCATCCAGCTATCCTGCCACCAGCCACAGTCCTCCCAGCCCAGCTCCAGCATGGCATAACGCTCTTTCAATATTAATTGAGTTTATTGATTGAATGAACACGGAACTGCTTTTCGGGGCGCTTCCGTTTCGTTCCGCTTTTGGTGCGACTATCAAATAACAGTTGGCTGTGAGTGTGAGGCATGGCTGTGAGTGTGGGTGTGGGGCTGTGCCTGTGGCCTGTGTTTATTGTACCCTACTTGAATGTGATATATTGATACATTTTTTTTGGTATGGCAATTGTTGACCCCTTTGACCTGTTGCATGTCCCTGCACCGCTTGCCAGTTAATTACTTTGATTTATTCGAGAGTTACTCACATGCGTGATACCGGCTGTCACATATTTCAAATCGCTCTTAATTACACCTCCCTCCTCCCCTTGTGCTGCCACTCGTGTACTTTCAAATTAACGAAATTGCCTCCACGGCGGCGCCCAGATAAGCAACGCGACTACCGTCCGCCCTGCCCCTCTGGCAGTAGATTTATTACAAATTTCAACTTATTTGGCAGGACATGAAGAGCCAGCGAACAGGGCAGCACACACTCCACTCCAATCCACTCTGCACACACAAGGGGAGAATTTATTGTTTTGTTAGACCAAAAATTACAGCGATAAAAACATACAAAGTGCTTAAGTGCGACATTCGGAAGAGCCCAGCCCAAGAGGTAGGTTGGGAGGGCAAAGGAAAGAGGAGACACTCGCATCGATAAAAAATCGATAGGCATCGGCCATAAATTTCCCAACCACGGCACACACACACACACACACACACACACACACACACAAATTCAAATAAAAACCAAATGCCGGCTAATCTCCATTAGGCAAATACGTTAAGCTTACCGAAAAAATGTTGTGACCCATTTGGGCTCACATGCTCTCCTGCCCGTGGCTCCTCTTTGGTGGGCGTGGGCCTTGTGTGTGGTAGAAAAGGTCACTCTAAGTGCTTTTCATTGGGCTGAGCACTGAACTGAACTGAACTGAAGTGTGCTGTGCTGGGGAGCGAGCGGCATATACTTAATGGAATTTGAATTTCTTCATTACGCATACGACGCGTGGGCCGCCTACAGGCAGCAACAGGTGAAAGGAGCATCAAAACGTAACCTTTTGCCGTCCCCAAGTTGATTACCTGTCTGTCTGTGACTGGTTGGTTGGTTGGTTGGGGGGGGAGATGAAACACACATGAAAGAGATTCCACATGCCAGATTTACCTTCATTTTTGGGCGGTTCATTTTCATGAGATTATAAAGCGCTTCGAGCGCTTAGGGCTACTAAATGTTCGAGGCCCAAACATCAATAGAAAATTGATTTGCTCTTGATAATTTTAGAAGATAAACAGGATTAGGGCGCATACACACACACATTCATAGATAATTGCCCTCGGGTCCTAGCCTCCTGGCTAGCCCCCATTTGGATGCGGAAGTTATCCCATGGGATTGATTGGAATGGGAGAAGAGAGAGCAAAGCACGTGTCGTAAAAGTGGAACGAGTGGAGTTCCACTGCTCTTATTACTTACAGGCGAAGTGAGGGGTAGGGGCTGGCGAGGCACAACATTGTCGCAGGCCCAGTCATCGTGACACACTCGATATATGTACATGTATGTATGGGATACCATCATGGTATACATGGGTATATGGCTGTGCAATCAAGTATTCCTTGGTTCTGGTCCTCTGGCCAGCCTCAGTTTTATGCTGAGTAATGGCCAGGCCATGTATGGCAATTGCAATGGCTGCCGGAGTGCTGCCGTAAAGAATCGCACTGCCAATGGCGCTGGGCACTCGCACTGGCACTCTCGTATCGTACTCGTACTCGCACTCGTAGTTTACATAACAGTTTTACGGCCGCGCACTTAAATGCTGCCTTCGACTGCTTTTTGGACTGTGTGCGAGGAGTCATAAATGGAGCGAGAGATATAGCGCAAGAGAAGCAACTGCACCGCAATACTTTTGCCTGATTGATAGCTCCAAGAGAGGGGCATACGATGCCCTGCCTTGGGTTCATTCAACCCCTTTTTTGGGCAATAGCCATTCGAGCCAGCGCAGCGCAGCCCAGCTCTCTGATGTTAATGATGATGCTGGGCAACATTGTGGCAGGCCAGCGACAACATAAGTTCTAACTGTGCCCTGCTTCCGTTCTGTGTTTACGCTCGGCTTCAGCTGCACAAGTTTATTATTAGAAAAGTTTTAATGTCTTTGGCAAACGCACGAACACACACACACCCAGACACAGAGAGAGAGAGAGAGAGCAACACAACACTCTCTGGGCCTCCACATGCAGATAGATACCCACGTAGTAGTTGTAGTTGTCGTTGTTGCCAGAACAGCTTCCTTCGAGGAAACTCCATCGGAGACCAATGATGGCCACAAGTGACTGCGAATGATCCTGCCTGGCTATGCCTGTGCCAGTGCCTGTTCCTGTGCCACTTAATAAGCTCCATTTGTGCCTGCCACAACAAAAATAAAGACTGTGTGACCTTCGGTTTGTTGGCTTTTAATTTGCCATCGAAGGGTCCCTGGTCCTCGCTTCACTGCACACACTGTGGGGGTTGGACTTTGATGCCTGTGCCCTGAGTTCTTGTAACCCACAAAAAAAATTTACATAACTGTAAAAATATTGTGCGGGCTTCGGCTTCGGCTTGGGCCTGCTCCTAAACGAGGCACAAACGTCGCCCTGCGGCCTACAACTTTCTGCCGCTTACAAGCATTTTTAAAGCGTTTTTACCCCACGTTTTTCTTTCGTTTTTGTTTTCTGTTTTCTGTTTGTTTTTTTTTTGGGTTTTTTTTTTTTTGGGGGCAAAAGCTTGTATAAGCGTGAGAAAACCAGATGTAAAACTTCAGCATGGAGTTGAGGAAAAGGAAAAATTGTGCTTGGAAAAAAAAAAAATAATAATAAAAAAAGGAAAATTAAATAAGCTATGCCATGAGTTCTCTGGGCAGCAGCAGCAGCCTTCTAGGCAAATGTGTTTAACATGGTGCTGGGTGGGTGTGTGACGCTGCCATGTTTGCTTTCTGGGTTTCCATTTTTACTGTTTGTTCTGTTGGCCAGAAAGTTAAAAGGCGGCCCCCGGGCCCAGTGCGACAGATGGGCGACCAGGCCAGACCACACGTGGTGGCGGCGGCGGCGGCGGCCATTACTTGTGTCGACTTCATCGATATTTTATTTAACCCGCTGCAAGAAAAGAATCCACAAGCTAACTTCATAACTTGCCCCAGACTCAGCTACACCACGGGTAAACAAAAAAATGTAGCTTCTGGCAAATGGAAATTGATTACCAAAGCAAAACAATTTACGCTGCAAAAGGCGATGCGAGGCGGGGCGAGGTAGCAAGTTCGAATGTTTATTTATATCGCGTGGATATATTTGCATAAGCGACTAGGCCAGCAACGCAAATTATATGTATATTGTGTGTGTGTGTGTGTGTGTGTGTGTGTGTGTGTGTGTGTGCTATACGTGTGAGTGTAATATGCAAATGGCGAGTGTGTGGCTGCGTTTAAGACTTCTACGTGGCGGATACACACGAAACGGGCAATGCAGCTGAGCTCAGCTGAGCTTTAGACCGGCCTCTGCTGGACTCTCCCGTTTCACTGGCGGCTGCTGCTGCTGCCTCTGCTTCCGTATATAGGTCTTGTAGTAGAAATCAAAGAACATGAAGAACATAAAGATGTTCTGGATGAAGCCAATGAACGCAATGAATGGGGGAAAGCGGCACGGATTGCGCACGATCACCAGCAGAAAGTGCAGCGTGAGGTAACCAAATTGGGCCAGCTGCAGCTGTGTGATGCGCTGCTTCCACCAGAGTATGTGCCGCAGGGCGCCCAGCGAGGAGGCGTAGTAGTAGGCGTACATAACGCTATGCACCAGCAGATTGATAATGCCCAGCATGGTGGCATGCGAGCCGCCCAGGAAGGTCATGTATATGGAGACGCCGAATACCATGCCGGCGTGATGGTACACATGCAGGAAGCTCACCTGCGAGTTCTTCTTGCGCAGCACAATAAACACCTGCAGGATAAAGGCATTTTTTGTTGTTACACTAAAACATTTCGCAAAAAAAAACAAACGGGAAAATCGAGAAGCGAGAACGGATAACCGAGAACCGCATACAGACCGTGTCGAGCAGATCCAAGTACTTGAGCATATAGTAGACATACGTGGCACACAGCACATGCATCATACGGGGCGAGGTGTCCGTTTTGTCGAAGGGCTGGCAGGTCCAGCTGAAGCCCGGCTGCAGATATGTGTTCGTCAGGCCATACAGAAAGACAATCGTGTTGGCCACCACCTGCACGGCATTGTACACCTGCATGACGGTCTTCAGTTCGTATGGCTTGCGGTGCTCCATCCATTTGGGTCCATAGTGGAGCACAAAGGCGAGATACACACCCACCAGGGCCAGGACAATCCACAGATTGCCAAGCAGTGGCAGGTGGGCCACACGGGGATCGCCATGCTCGGCATACATGTCCCGTATCAGGCCATACAGGTGAACAATGATGTTTTGCCGCATCCTTGACGATTACTTTACACCAGCGGAAGGGTTATTAAAACTCTTAATACTCTCTATGCCGCAGCCAAAAAGGAGCCGCGCAGCAGTTCTCACCACACGAAGGTCTTCAGTCTTCTGAGTCTGCCCAGCCCAAAAGCACCAAAAAGAGCTCAGCCCAGCGGCGAGGGGCGCTATGCTAATGACCGGCAAATGAGAAGCAGCTCGCATTCCACATTGAACCCGTGTCAGGCATTGACTGCCCACCAATGAATGCATTGCCAATGCCACTGGCACTGCTACTGTCAGTAGAAATCAGAGACCAACAGCCCACAGAAAGGGAAAACGAGCTGATACATATACATTACACATACATATGTACATATGTATGTATGTATGTTCTATAACATTGTTTTATTGCCAGATTGATTGCTTCGAACACTTTCCAATGCAAAAGCGCAAGTTTTACGCTCAAACTTGTGCCAGCTGTGGTTAGGGGGGTGCGATGGGTGGTACCGACAAGATTTTGCCATTATTTGACAATGTATGAAAAGTTATGGGTGGCCATTACGATGCCGCCACCGAAACTTGGTTGATAGCACAGCTGAAATGCAGAGAGACTGCAGAGGCGGAGAGACTGGAGAGGCGGAGAGACTGGAAAGGCGGAGAGGCGGAGAGACTGGAGCGGCTGAGCGCCAGTTGAGTGGTAAAAAATGATGTTCGCTGTGGCTGTGGCTGTTGATGGGGGGCCACATCCATTAACCCAAATGAACGCTAATCGTTTGCCCCGCAGCACCGCCCAGATATATGCATCTAACCCAGTTTGCAGAGTATGCCAATAAATTTGCAGCATAACTGCCAATATAAGCGCAACTGTTTTGAAATTAAGCCAAGAAAAAAAGGGAAGAGCAAAGCAGACAGAGAGAGAGAGAGAGAGCGAGAAACATCCGTTGTAGCCACAGCAGATGCTTCTGCTGCTGCTGGTGCTGCTGTTGCTGTGACCCACTGAGCGATTCACCCGCTGCCGCCATGCTTGATAAATTCGCCAAGTCTGTTACAATGGCTGTAAATAGCCGCGGGCATTGGACAAATGGCTCTTAAAAGCAACAACAGCAGCAGCAGCAGCAGCAGTGGCAGTGGCAGTACCAGTCGCTGAAACAACAGCAGCGGCGAGTGGCAGGCGACTAAAGGCTACCCTTTAGTCGGGCAGTAGATTCAAGATGAAAATACAGGAAAATGCAGCAAAAATACTTCGCATATACTCAACTACTCCCCTCCAATTACAGGGTATGGTAAGTAAACCAACTCAGCGAAATAGGCAAAAGTGTTTTACGAGGTGGGTGGAAGTGGGCCAGTGCCAGTGCCTGAGCCAGAGCCTGAGCCAGAACCAGAGCCAGGAGCATAGTCTGCAGGACCTGCAGGTGGCCAATCAAACTCAAGCAGCTGCAATTTGTTTTGGGGCAACGTGCAAAAGTTGGCAGCCATTTTGTGGTCGAAAGTTTTGCCGCGTTTAAAGAGCTCGTTCCTCCAGTTTATTCAGTTTATTTATAAGTGCAAGCATAAGTAAATGCTGCAATTTATAGCAGCACTTGCACGCCTCACGAATCAATCAATTGAGCTGCAGGCAGAGGCCCCCATTGGAAGGGGGCTACCGGCTAACCAAAGTGGCCAGCAATTTGGCAAGAGGACGTCTTCTGTCCAGTAAAGTTGCATTTAAACAATGCTGGAGAACCTGTAGAGGGTGAGTGGTGAGTGGTGAGCGGCTGGGTGCGGTTGCATGCAACGACTAATCCAGGGCGAAGGCCGTTGCTGGGCTTTCGCTTGAGAGTCCTTAAGCCGCAATTGATGCGTTCCTTGGTTCGTTGTTGTTGCTGGCACATGCGTCCTTGAGGCCCAGGCCCAGGCCAGTATGTTGTGTGATGTGATGTGACCTTGTTGTGCCGCACAGACATTGAGCCAGCCAGCGACAAAACAATCATTTGCATGCCGCCTGCCCACGGACAATGAAATTCTCGTGCGGGGCGGGGCGGGGCGGGCGTTCAGCTCATTTGCACAAATAAGCCATAACCGCATGTCGGTCGATGGCAGCCATTTTCGGAAAGAACTCCCAAGCCAAGCAGTAAGAGAGCCGAGCCCGAAGAGCGTGCTGGTGCTCTGCTGGTGCTCTGCTCTGGTCTGCTGCTCTGCTGCTCTGGGATGGGCCCTGTCCGTGGACGAGAGTAAGTGCTGTTGCAATAACGGTAATGGCCACGGTAACGACAGCAGCAAACAACAGAAATAATAATGATCATCATTTTGCCGCGCACCGGAAGTATGCAAATATACGCGACATGGAACGACCAAAGACGAGGGCGCTCTGGCCAATGCTGATGGCAATGTCGATGTCGTTTGGGGACAAGGCTCTTGTTCGTCAAGGATGTGCGCGGATGTGCGGATGTGGCAAGGTGCCCAGCCCCTGCCACAGCCCCAGCCACGGCCCGTACCCGACAAAGCCCTGGCCTTAACAGGTCGCGGCGAAAATTAAAAGTTTGCCGCGAATGAAGCGTTAATGAAGGGCGTAGCGCTGCGGTGCGGAGTACACGAGTAAGTAAACAGTTTCAAGCGACAGCATTAATATGAAAATGAACCTCTCTCTCTCTCTCTCTGTCTTTCTGGCCTGCCCCTCTCTCCCCTAGCGACGACTTCTGCCCCTACTTTCTGTGTCGTTTGGCTACGGCCATTAAATGAAAATAATAATCTCTTTCGGGCAGGAAATGAAGGGAAATTCAGCAGGAAACTTTTGTGACGTGCCGCAAACAGACCGTGTGCAAACACACACACACACACACACACTCGAGGCATGTTTGTTTCTCTCTGTATGACTGTGAGTGTATTTGTATTTAAATTGAAAGGTCCAACACAAACAGAAGCTGGCCAACACTCATGCAGGTGTTAAACTACGCCCGCTCTCCACTCTCCTATCACGCTCCTATCACTCTCCTCTCACTCTCTTTGTGTTTCATTGCGATGCCAATGGGTGGGCTGCCAATGCAAATTACAGTCATTTGGTCCGCTATTTGTTCCTACAACCGCTACCATCGTACTTCGCTCTCACTCGAATATTATTTCAAAATGTTGAAAAATTTACACATATATTTTACGAAAAAAAAAACAATAGCAATGAATGTGGACTATGTAGATGCGCAAGTCGAGCATTAAGATACCCTTGAACAGCGATCGTTGCATGGCATTTGATTTTGATTTGATTTTGGTGACCCCGTGGAGAAACCAGAGCTCGAAAATAATATTTAATTTTAAACAGTTCTTTAACGCACTCAATGCAAAGTGAACAAACATAAATAAACATTCTATTCTTCTTCTATTTTAGATCCAAGCATTGACAATTTTATAGTCCCCTTTTTGAATCTGTTGCTTGCGGGCACTTTGCTGCCAAAGAAGTCTTGCATATGTATGTACATGCAGCTAAACATATGTACATATGCATGTATTATGCATGCACGAGTGTGCTTGTGCTCGCGAGATAAGCTTTTCAAGAGAGATCGGTTCGGTGCCTCTCTCTCTCTCAATCTAACACACGCAGAAATGTGTCTCTCATTGTTTCTGCTGCTGTGAGAGCAGACGTGTTCAATCGTGCTCAACCGAAAGCACGAAAGCGAGCACCACACCAAGCGCAGGTAGAAACGAAGCTTGGCTTGGGTGTGCTTTGATTTTATTTTTGTTTTGTTTTTGTTGTCTTTGCTTATTGTTTCTGGCTGAGTCTTCCTACCGCAGAGTCGTGTCTGTTACACAGACAGAATGATACCCATCTTAAAGCTTCTAATTTAAGGGCTGGTGGCTCTCGACAAACAACTGGACATTTGATGCCTTCAGCTAGTCTGAAATTTTCTCCATGGCCAAACCTGTGGTCAACATCATAATACTCATAATACTCTGCTGTGATGGCCATAAAAATCCCGACAATTTTTTGTTGCTGGTTGATGCCTGGTTGGGACTGTCAATGGCTGGTGGCCAGAGCACATTGTTGGCTGGCACGCACGATATCTATAGCTGGCCAACGGGAACTTAATGGCTTTCACAGGTGTTTCCCCACACAGGTGTTGCCTTCCACTATCCCAGGCAGAGCAATAAAACTTTATGTGCACTCATTATGCACACCCACACCCACCCACTCCCACTCCCATTGCCAGCCACCAGCCACCAGCCAAGAGGGAGGCATGGCATTCCTTTGTGCTCCAGCAAACCGCATTGCATACTGGAGGACTGCCATTAGTAGTGCATACTTTTCGGGGGGGGGGACGGCCGACAATCTGTGCACTGCGGGGCCGTAATTATCACTCCGGCAAGTGGATGGGCGATAATGACTTGATTCCAGTTTGGCAGAACGTATAGATGGGTATTAATTATTATGATTATGACTGGGGGTGGATGTGCGGTGCCCATTGGGCGAAGACACTCAGGCATTGCCGCCATGGCACATGCCATGTTTTTGTAGCAGGTTCTAAGGAGTTCTTCCAGGCAGCAACAACCAAACCAAAACGCAACCCACCCACCCAACTCACGAGTAGCCGCCCCCTTGGCATATTCGTTGGCGTTCATTCAGCCGGAATTTGGCAAATGCCGAAAACTTCAAGGGTATTATATAAATGTTGGCCCTGGCCAAGACTTCTAAGCATATTTTGAATGCCAAACAAATCCACACCGCCCTCAGCCCCACCACTCTGCTGCCCCTGCCCCTGCCCCTGCGGCATGCTTTAGCCATGAAAGTCACTTCCAAAGTTCAAGTCAATGTCGCAAAATGTTAACGGCGCGTTAATAATGCGATTAGTGGATGCTACGGACCCATTCCGATCCAGCGACCCAACTCAGAAACCGCCTCGCCTCTTGCCCCGCCGAGTCCTGGAGCTCGGCCCCCATTTGAATGCCGAGGAAACATTGGAAAATTAGCTTTAATTGGTAAAATGTTTTTGGTAGCAGCAGCAGCAGCAGCAGAGCAGCATGCCACAAAACATGACCTTCCTTCCCGGCTTCCCGGCACTGCTTGCAAGTTTTAGTCGAATGTGGCAGGGCGCTAATTAATAAATTTCTTGGGGATTTCTCGCTTCGTCTTGTTCGTAACTCCCTCGTATAATTATCACATGACAATCGCCTGGGGTATACGCGTATAATGTGCAAAATGTCTATGCTAATACACGACTGCGAGTATCTACCCATGAAACACTGAACACCGCAACACCGAAACACTGAACACTGAATAAACTGACGGAGCTGAAGCTGCGAGCTCCCAAGCTGAATCCCAGAGAGGGAGCAGAGACCCTCTACAAATCCCCGCCAAGTGATGCCTTCAATTACATTTGGTGTTGCTGTCGGCGCCAATCCCCCTGGTAATAGGATATTTTCAATTTCCATTTCCTCACCCACTCGCTCGTAGATTTTTTCCGCGTTTTTTTTTTTTTTTTTTTTGTATTTGTTTTAAGTTATGGCAGACGGCCCTCTCCAGAGGTTACATTCAGTCATTTTTTATATGCATTTTTTTTTTTGAACATATTTCATCGAAACGCGGGGTTGGCGTGGGGGCGGAATGGCAAACAAAAATATACAACTATTTGTTGAGTTGAGTGCCACAGGCCTAGCTGGCAGATTGTCAGCCCGGAGAAGAGCTATCCGGGGTCGTCCTGGTCACGTAATTGAGCCGTACACCAGGCTGCGAGGCTGAGAGAGCGGCTTTCCTGGCCAATAGAAAATGAATTGTATGCACAGAAATATGACGAACAGTCGGAACGTATTCCGTACAAAACCGCAAAACAGGACGAGCAGCTGAGCCAGAGATTTGTTACCACGGCAGTTGCCAGTGCCAGTGCCAGGGCCAGTGCCAGTGCCAGTTCGAAACTACAGACACAGGTCCACCATTTGGAACATCGGCATCCAGATGGGGGCGACAGCGAGTTAATGGAAATGGAGGCGCAGTCGGTTTGGTGGGGGGGCTAGGAAAAATCGCTCCTGGGCCGAACAGACACAGTCACAGACGACGACGACGACTGATGGAAATTTATTGCTGGCAACATACCCAAAGGGATTCGCAAATATAATACTACATCCACAGCGGGTAAAAGTGGGCGGTAGCTGGAGCTAGGATCAGTAAAAATGGAGGCAGGAATGGGTGGGGGGCCCCATCCGCAATGCATACTAACACGTACCCCCTGTCATGCCATTTGCCTGGCCCCAAGCCTCACTACGGTCCACCTCCACTCCACTCCACTCCACTCCTCTCCGTTCCCGGGCTGGTATGCCAACATGTGGCACTGTAGTTTGAGCGCGAAAGAGGTAGGGACAGGGTGGTGGGTGGTAGGGGGAGGGGGAGCAGGCTAAACCTATGAACAATTTCCCAAAAGCATCAGAAAAAACATACAAAATGCGGTTTTAGCCGTTGAGAGAAAATCTGTACCGAGAAGCAAGCGGGAAAAAAAAATCTGTTGGAAAAATATATGACAGCTAAAACATGTTGCTGCCACTGCCAGTGCCTGCCACACCCCCCTGCTGCTGGTGCTGCTGCCTGCTCTACCATCATAAAACTGTGCTGCAAGCACGCACTGTGCATATTTTGTTATGAAAATTTAAGTGAAATCACTAAAATGGCAAACAAAACAGCAAGATATGCAAAAATGCAGCACAAGTCTGGGTTGTTGGATATAGAGTAGACATGAACACCCACCCACCCACTATGGGTGTTTCCCAATGGATAAGATTTATCAGTGCGGGGAGGGGGGATGGCAGCGTAAAACCGAAGCCCTCGAGGCGGAAAACAGCTGTTGTTTGTGTTTACTGCTGCTCCTGCTGCTGCTTCTCCTGCTGCTGCTGCTGCAAAACTTATGAAAAATTGTTGTCAGTTTATAAAATGGTGATGCAGGACATGAAGCCACTGCGCATCCTTCAAGTGCATCACGTGCACCAAACAGACGACTCCTGCTGATGCTGCTGCTCCTGCTGCTCCTGCTCCTGCTGCTCCTGCTGCTCTTCTTGCTCCTGCAAAATGGGTCAAAGAAAGTTTTCTTTTTTTTTTTTTTGGGGGGTTGTGCGCTGACTTTCAGTTTATGGCTCGTGTTACTCAATAAACATTTGTCAGGGCGGTGCAGCAGCCAGCAACCTTCAGCAATCTTTCGAGTCTGGCAACCCCACCCCACGCCTCTTTCGTTGCGTTTCGATGTCAATTGTTACGTTTTATTGCCTTGTCCTTTGCATTGACTACACGCAGATACAGTTACACAACACATCCAGTATGTGGCACACACACACACACACACACACACACCCGACTGGCAGCAAAGGTAACTGGCAAACGAAGAAATTTATGATCAGTGACAAAAGCACATTCTCACCTTTGATATACCTTTACTGCCTTTTGCTTTTGCACCTTTTTTTGTCGCTCTGGCAAGTACACTGGGGGGGTGGCTGGTGGTGGCTGCGCGGCATGCGGGCTGCCTGGGGGGCGGTACAGATCCTGAGTAGGGATAAAGGCGGGGTCTCTGTCTTTGGTTTGCTCTGTTTTATTGAGCACGCCCTTTCGCTGCTATTGTTGTTGTTGCTGCTGCTGCTGCTGCTGCTAGCTGCATGGCTGCCTCTATGGGGTGTGTACAGGTGTAAGGTACGTACCGGACTCCGCATACTCTAAAAACCCCAACCCCAAAAGCCCTCTCTCCTCTCTGTGTGTGTGCCACGCATCGATGGCTCTTTTATGCGCTCCACAGTTTTGTCGTTTTTCGTTTTTTATTTTTTGCCATATTTTTTTGCACAGTGTTTGCCTTCGGATTTTTGCGATAATGGAGACAAATGTTGTGCTCTTAAATTTATCGATTGGTTGGCCAAAAGTTAACAGAAAAAAAAAAAAAAAAGGGAGGGAAAGAAAGGCAAAAATATTGCCCTGGTTGGGAGCTCTCGTTTTTATTACAGGCGTACAGTTCCGTTAGTAGTCCTTGCAGCTTTAAGTTTTTGCTCTGTTGGCGCACCTGAGTTTTCAATTTATTTCTTCGTTTATTTATTTTTTTTTTGTTTGACCTTTCGAATAGGCAAGCAAAATGGTCGTCGGCAGACAATGGAAAAGTCCCGCCTACAAGTCCCAGATAAACTTGCGCCAAAGATAAGCCAACTATTTGTGCTGGTCCTTGGGTCCTAGAAGAATCCTTCTGTCCTGCTTTCTTCCTGTCTTGCTGTCTGCTCACTGTTTCCCCCTGTTGGTCCCCCAAAAAAACTTTTCAATTGAAAGTTCTACGCTTTTTGGCAGGCATTCGCTTGAGTCCTGCTCATGCCTAATGCCTTGGGGTGCCCATAACGAGTTATTAATTGTCTTGATGCGGGGCGGGGCGGGTGGCTGGAGCATGTGCAACGGATTAGTGGGCAGCAAACTATGCCACAAGCTTAGCGTTGTGGCCTCAGCCCCACAAATGACCTGCCACTCGCTCCCTTTCCCTTTCGCTGGGTTCCATCTCTCAGAGAGCTTTTCGCTTAGCGGTTTTTTTCTTTATTTTTCATTTTTTGTTTCGCGCTGCTTCCCGGCGGCTTTAACATTAAACACCACAACGTGCTCGAGGACCACGGCGCCTGGATTTATGCAGCGTTACATTGGCATTAAAATAGCAAAAGGGGATTACGGAGGTACAGAGTACTCTGCTCTCTGTGCTCTCTCTGTGCTCATATTTTATTTTTTTTATTTTATTTTATTATATTTATATTACATGTATATGTATATGTATATTAAGCGCTTTTACCCTCGCTCTCCTTTTGTATTATGTAAAAAACATAAATGCAACTTGCGTTGCGTTGCGTTGAGTGCTTGGCGGATAGAAATAAATATGGATAGAAAAAAACGTGCACCTAGCATGGAGGGGCATGGTGGGGGCATGGAGGAGGCATGGACGGGGCATGGAGAAGGCATGGAGCATCCCCTCTGGCTCTCTAGAACTCCACCACTCGTTGCATCGTCGTCATTGTTCAGAGTCGGCAGCTAAATTAGATGTGACTACAACATGGGTGGCAGTCGTAGTAGTAGTAGTAGTAGTAGTAGTAGTGGTAGTAGCAGTAGCAAGTGGCGGGTGCCACGAATCACTTACCTCGATTTGAAATGGCGGCCTCGGCTGCCCCACCGCCGCCGTGGGTGTGCAGCAGCCATCCGAGGCTAATTACAATCAGAATGGGGCAATTCATTTTGAGCGCTGTGTGGTGCGGTGCGCGGCAACGGCGGTGCTGGCGCTGTTGCCTGCTCCAAGGTGCAGGGTCGCCAGTACCGGCGCCCGAACGTATGCTACGCGAAATTATTTTCATTGTTTTGTGCGACCGAGCCGCGCCGTAGGTGGAAAGGATGGTTTTTTTTTGTTCTTTTCTTTTTTGTGTGTTTGGTTCTGTTCCTTCTGCTTTTGTGTTTAAATTTTCTGGAGTTTCCCCACTGCGCCTGTGTGGTGCTGCTGCTGTTTGGCGTTTTTCGCTTTAAGTTTTCATTTCAGTTGAGCGCCAACATACTTTGCATAGTCGCTGCCTGCTCCCAGTCGCTTCTGCTGCTCCCTGCTAGTCGCTTCTGCTGCTTTATTGCTTTGTTTAATTTGCAGTTTATTTTTGGGTTTTTTTTTTTTTTTGGTATTCTATTCTTTTTTCTAATTAGAAGTTGAGCGCAAGACCGCAAACTCTGTCGTCGTCGTGGTGGTGGGTGCTTTTGCTTTACCCTTGACAAATTGTGCAGCGTTGAAATATATTTTCTAATTAATTTTTATTGCGCTGAGCGAGAGCTCTTTGTTGTTGTTGTTGTGCCAACCAACTAATTATCATTGGGTGCATATATGTTTTCCAATTTCCACATTATTTACGCAGCTCCAGCTTACGACAGAGTCTGGCTGTATCTGTATCTGCAATAAATAAATAAATAAATATTAGTTTCAGTTGCAGAAGGAGCGCCTCAAACAGGAGAAAGTTTTAGCCCAGAATTTCCATTTCCAACACACTGAATACCACCACCACAAACCACAATTTGCCTTCCGTATTTATATAGATCTGGGAATAAGCACTCAGAGAAAAGTGGCAATGTAAAACGATATATTTATATTTTCTATATTATATTTATATTTATAATTATTTATATTATATGTAATTATTTTAAATTTAAAATTCAGTTTTAAAATTAAATTAAATATAACTCCCTTTGATTTAAATACAATACATTTTGTGTTTTTAATGTTGCCCAAAACTCATCTAAATATAAAACACTTTAAAAATATTTTTTTTATTTAATCTGTATATTTGACCTGAATGTGAAAAAATTAATTAAAATATGAATTACATTTTAAACAAATATTGTTTTAATTGTAATGTAAGACAGGAATCGCCTATTTATTTATTTTATTTTTATTTAATATAATTATTTATAATATTTTATATAATTTTTATTTTAAGAAATTTCCTCTTGTAATATTAAAATTCCAAAATCAGATATTTCTTAGAGTCGTAAGGGTATGCTGTAGTCGTTGGCTGCCACTGCCAAGCGGCCAACTTTCAAGTGCAGCTCTCGAGAAGGTTTTTTTGGTGCTCCAAGCGAACATTAAAGAGTTCGTTCACGAATAGTTCGCCAGTTTTCACATGCGCTCCATAAACCCACCCATACACAGCATACATATGTATGTACATATATGCACACACACACACGAACAGGCGTACCAAAATGCGTCTGCAAAACTTCACTGACACGCAAAATTACCCCACAAAGTGCAATTAGCACACAAGTTAAATTATAAAAGTTCCGTTTTTTAACCTTTTTCCCTTCGTTCTGAGTACTGAGTACTGCAGTCCTGATCCTGGGCCCCACACACACACACGCACACATGTCGCTGCATAGCCAAGTAGACTCCTATGGGCCATGGGGCGAACCGAGTAAACAACACTTCAAGAGCAAAGTCCAAAGCCAAATAACAAATTGTTCCTAGGGCCAGGGACCTCAGAGTTTCCCCCTCACCCGCACCCTCTCTCTCTCGCTCTCTCTCTCGCACACTTGTGCCATATTTAATGACAAAGTTTTGCATAATTTTACGAGTTTGCAGCTTTATCCTGGGCCATGCGAGTGGCCCAAGCCAAAGCCAAAGAAAAAAAAAAATTCAGCCAGTACAGAAAAATTCAAATTATTTCATTATCACTTCCGTGCAGGGTGTGCCCCGCCCCGAACTACTATGTACATCGACTGCCGCCGTCTATGAACGGGATAATCCTCAAGTCTCGAAATGGCCAGCAGAAAAAAAAGCAGCTCCAAAGCCATAAAAACAAACGGCGAGAAGTGGACAAGGACGCGCGCGACTACTCATGAAAAAAATTAAGTTATAAATTTAGATTAACCCATGCAGCGGACTCACTTTCGCTGGCCGCCCAGGACTGGTAGGACTGGCCGACTGGGACGCTTGAAAAGTCCATTAAAAGTCGCACCAAATGCCGCCAGATCGAAGGATACAGACAGACAGACAGAGAGAGGGAGCGAGAGAGGCCTTGCTGGAGTCCTTGCTTTGGTAGGCATAATTATCTATCGTTTTCATTATTACCTCAGGCTCTGGCATCAAGTATACGCTACGTGGTGCCGGCTCATATCCTGGAGGAGCAATAAAATATTTGTATCTATGTGGGTCTGGCAGCGCGTAGGAGCCGCCACAAATCTGCACTGGCCCACACTCGTATAATTACTCAAAAAGTTGCTGCCCCACTAAGTGCCACAGCGACGGGGCATGGGAGGAGGTAGGAGAAAGGAGTCATATAAAGGCTCAATGCCCAGCAAAAGGCTTTTATCATGTAGGCGGTAAATAGCCGTAAATAAACAGGCAGCGGCACATAAAACGGCAACAAAAGATGCGCCAACACAGGCACGGGAACGGGGGCAAGGATAGGAGCGTTGTCATCGCCACCGCTGGCTACCGGAACCTAGAGCCGCAGCCAGAGCCTGGAGACAGCCCACGCCAGGCTCTGGCTACGGCCCACGACCGTGTCGTCGACGGCCAAGGTTATCATCAGTTTTATGGGCTTTGTGCCTACAGATTTTTTATACGAGTGCCACATGCTGTGCGGGGGGAGGTCATTCCTTTTATTTATGACACCCGACCGAAACACACTGGCTACAAATTTCTCGTGTCTCGTTGTTCGTTTCTCGTTTGTCTTGCAAGTTGATCTCTGAGTCGCGTTCCGGTCACAGACGGTCTGGCTAAACGTTTCAACATTTTATCGGGACCCTTTTGTCCTGCTGCTGCTGCTGCTGCTCCTGCTGCTATTGCGGTTGCGGTCGCAACCATAAAAGTTTAATATTCTAATAAAGCGGATTTAATTATTTAAAAACAACATTTTGCACGTCCTGCCGGCGCTTGGAAGATTTTTTAATTTTTTTACGCGCTCCATTTCGCTGTCGCATCGCAACTTGAGTCTCGACTTTTGCCAGTTCACACGCCTCGACTTTCGCCACCAAATTGCACTTTGCGGTACAATTTCCACAGCTACTCGTTCTGTGCTACAAGTTTTCACCCCCCCTCCGCACCAACCGACCCAACGAGCAAAGTCGTAATTAGTTTTTGCTGGTTTCACTGTGCAACTGATTTTCATTTGGCAGCAGGGAGAGCGGAAAGGAGCGGATCGGAGCACGGTTGAAACTAAATCCAAGCGAAAAGAAATAGCTTCGTCTTCTGTCAGCGCTCAAGCGCCGTTGCTGCGGTCTGCTGGCGCAACTTTAAAATGGGTTAATTGCATTGTAAACTAAACGAACAAACGGCAAACAAGTGGCACAGCGCAACACAGGGGGGTGTGGCTGGGGTTGGGGTACCAGCAATAAGACAACTGAGCTTGCTGCAGCAGATTCGATTTGAGCTTTGGCTTCTGCGATAAAAAGGAAAATCTGCAATTGCTGTGTGTCCTCTCTAACGTTCGTTGATACCCTGTAGACGAAGGCAGCAGCAACTTTCTTTGTGTTGGGTGTTCTTTTAGCTGGGAGTTTTCTTCTCATGCGTAGTTTTTCCTTCTATCTGGGATGCCACACTTGTCAACTATCAAGTGCATCATTAAAATTAACAAAACGGAAAGACACGGTTAGCGGAGGAGCCCGCACCCCCTCCTTAGAACCTCATCTGTCGGTCCGCTGGCAGTGAATTATTTGCAACGACGATGACAGCCGTGCGACTAACGACAAAGTCCTGTCGCTGGGGCACCCCACATTGTCATCGAAATGATTAACAAGCCAACTTTCAGCACAAAGGCCGACTGGCAGCAAAAAAAAGAATATGTTAAAAAAAAACGCGCGCGTGTGTGTGTGGCAAGTCCTTCATACTGGCACACACACAAAGGCGGATGGGCTGGGCTCCGGCTGCGTGCAAAGTTCAAGCTGGAGCACTTGCCACGGCCACACAAGCCTGTGCCGGGGATTGACACGGCAACAATGTGGCAAGATGGCTGACACACGCAGGCAGAGCCAGAGCCAGTGCTCCCCCCTAATATGCAGTTGAACAAGTTTTAATGAAAAAACGAAGAAGCACCAAGATGTGGCAAAGAGATGTGCTACAGATCCCAGAGCCCAGAGTCCCGCTCGATAAAAGATTATTAAAATTTTCCAAACGAATGGCAAAAGTTGCGCTGCAGCAGTTTGTCAAAGGTTCAAAAGGTTATCTGCAGCACCATACACCACACACACACACACTCACACACTCCTTGACTCCTACTCGACTCACGTGTGTGTGTATGGGTCTACAAAGTTGACAGACATTTTCCACAGGCAGGCGGCAGGGGGCAGGCAGCAGTGGGCGGAGTCAAGCACCCATCTAGCACTCGAGTGGAATGCGAAATCCTGTCGCCCAAGGCTTTAACTTTGGGGTTATCTGTCGTGCCAAAAAGGGGCTGCTTTAACTTTAACTTTGAGTTATCATCGTGAAGGCGGTGAAAAATTTCAATTCTGTTCAAGCTTCGGGGGCACTGGACAATGCCTGCCGCCCGAAACTCTAGGGCCATGAATAGTGCTCGCCTGCTCGTACATGAAATATGAAAGTAATCTCTGCATATATTAAGGCGTTTGACGTCTGCTTTAATATGCAGCCGCCCCAGACCTATCTCTGGCACAGGAACCAGGGGGACCTCTGCCGCTTGATACTTATGCATTTTTGCTGAAGCAAACATAATTCGTCTATTATGCAGGGTGGCAGGCAGGCAGGCAGGCAAGGCAGGCAGGCAGGCAAGGCAGGCAGTCTGGGGAGCCCGAGCAGCCTAGGCCTGCGCCACAGGACATGGACACCGAACAACGAACACGAACCTCTCGCACAGGCAGCAGCAGCAGCAGCGGCACATCCATCTGGCTCTGGAGAGTTCATGGAGAGTTTCTCTCCTGCCTCGGCGCCGTATTCACTTGGCAATTACTGCTTTATTTATTATGCCGAAATGGATTATCCCTTTTAGTGCCCTGGGATGCAATTTCTGCTTGTGCTGCTATTTTGTGCCGTCAACATTTTTTTTTTTTTTTTTTTTGTACCCTCCATACCGAAGCATTTGCCGTGCAGCCCAGCTCTAACCTCTGACATACCTCCCTCTCTCTCTCTCTCTTGGCTCTCTCGCACACTCTCCTTCTCCTTCT